TCGACCCTGGGCCCCTTTAGTCCGCAGGCCGACACTCTATCCACTGAGCCACACCGGTCAGGGCCATTTCGTCTGTTTTTAACCTAGGTGAGGATTGCGGGGGAGAGGGGAGGTGGTGGTGCCCAGGTAACTGTTGACACGGGTCTCAGCTCCCAGGGCCAATGTAGGGGACAGGCGCCCGGAAAAGGTTTTGAGAACAGTTCTGTTCTCGGATGCGGGGCCAGTGGGGTCACCCTCGTGCTGCCCGTCACTGTCCGCCGACGCCGGCGGGTCCCTCGGGAGCCCGGTGACTTGAGCAGGCGCGATAAAATCAAGTTAGTGTGTCACCCGTTGTCACCGTGTCCCTGCAGCCAGACGCGTCTTTGTGGGTCAGCGTCCCCGTCCAGGCCTGTCCCCTCTCGGGGCGGAGCCGCTGGCCCTCCAGCCGCGGGGCTCACGCTGCGTCCTTACCTTTGGGCCGACCTGCGGGTCGGACGTGGGTGGTTTCGGGTTGGAGCCGGTGGAGGGCGATCTGGAGCCCAGAGGCTCTTGTCCCCAACCCTGTCCTGATGAGTCAAGGTCGACTTCCAGAAAGTCCCCTACACCCCCTCCCGGCCTCAGGCTTGGAGCCAACTGCCCCCTGCGACCTGGACTTGGTCACTCTCAGCCTTCGGACTCACAGGCTGGTCTGAGCCCGGCCGGTGCGGCTCAGTGGTTAGGCATCGACTTACGAACCAGGAGGTCAGGGTTCGATTCCCGGTCGGGACACAGGCCCGGGGTGCGGGCTCCATCCCCCGTGTGGAGTGTGCAGGAGGCAGCCGGTCCATGATTCTCTCTCATCATGGATGTCTCTCTCTCTCCCTCTCCCTTCCTCTCTGACATCAGTACAAATCCGTTACAAACACACACAGTAGAGGCAGCCCGTGAGGGGGAGCTGCGTGTGCTGGCGGAACCCACAGGAGCACCCCTGGCCACACAGCTGTCCCTGCAGCCGCCCCGTCACATGTCGGTGGACTTGCTGGGACCTGTAGGCTCTCATCTTCCCCGACTCCTCAGTTCAGCCGCCGCCTGTGTGCGTGTTGCCTACGTGCCCCCGGCTCTCCCGGCTCTGACGCTCGGCCTGACGCTCAGATACCTGAGGCCGGCGAGCTGCCCCCGGCCACGCTGTCCGCGCTGTCCTTGCTGTCCACGCTGTCGGCCGTGCGGGCAGAGCTCAGAGCCCTGGGGGTACCTCTGTGTGGGCTCCTTTAGGCCGGCCCACGGGGTTCCCCTTGCAGAGAGCGAGCTGGTGCTGTGTGGGGACTGGGTCACTGCCCGGTGCCAGGGTTCAGAGGTTGCTGCCCGGTGGAGCACAGCTCTCAGCAGGAGGGCCCCTGATGGCGGAACCATCCCCCAGCTCTCCCCCACGGGCCTGTTTCTACTGTGTGTGGAGTGGGATGGGTTGGGGGGGAGAGGGCATAGACTGGTCTCGGTGTAGCACCAGCCTCCTGGGATCCCTCTGTCTTCCATCCCCATCCCTCCTCCCTCCAGCTGACCCTCATCCTCCCTCCTGGTGCCTCCTCCCTCCAGCTCTCCTCCCTCCAGCTGACCCTCATCCTCCCTCCCGGTCCCTCCTCCCTCCAGCTGACCCCCATGCTCCCTCCTGGTCCCTCCTCCCTCCCAGGCTGACCCAGGTGCCTCTGTCGTTCCGACTTCTTCATCTGAGGGGGGCTTGGAGGGAGGCTGCGGGGCCCAGCTGGGGTGGGGGTGGTTGGGCCGGCGTTTTCCCACTCCTGTCGGCCTGGCAGGCGAGCGGGGGTGGGGAGGGCGCCCCTGGGACCCGCGGTGGATGCCTCTCTCAGGCTCCTGATATTTCAAGAGGAAAAAACCCAGCACTTGGAATGTTCCCGAGAGGGGGGCGGGCGGGGTAAACTGACTCATAATGATGCATTCTTTCCTTTGTCTCCTGAGAGAGGCTAGTCATGCTGATGTATAAGCATGAAGGAGTTGTCAGGTCAAGAACCTGAGTTTTGTTGGACAACAGAGACATTTTTCCCATGAACAACTTGGCCAAGAACCAAATTGTTCAAGATGAGAGACCTTCGAGAACCAAGATTTGACTGTATTGAAATAGTAAAGGGGAAAATAGACACTACAGCATATATGAAATTTCAGTTCCCCTTCATCCAATAGCTAAGGACCAAGGCCAAAAAAATTAATAAAAACGTGGAAGATCAAAACAGTATTATAAACAA